AGTCCCACAGGAAAAGCACAAGTTAAGGATTTAAATATTTGAGTCTCAAAATTTTCTACATTAGTATATTTATGTGTGTTGACTTCTTCATACATAAGAAATCAACAAAACTTCAAAAAAAGTTTTTTCTTTTTATTTATTATTGATTATAAAGTTATAGTAAGAATATGTGAACATTAGTTCAGACAATCATTTAAACTTGTTTGTGAGTTTTGCAAACAAGATGCTGGTCTTTTATTTTTTAGAAATTAATGACCATGACAGAATTTCTGATTTCTCTTTGGGTGTTGTAACATACCGTTAAAGAATCAATTTTATTTTCAATCATTTATCAGTGGAATTTACTTCCTTCTTTTTCATGATTTGTTGTTGCATTGCAAGTGTTTATGTTCTGGTTTTTAGTCCATACATTGTTTTCTGGATGATAAACACTTCCTTGCCAGATTGACAAATGTATGTTCATGTACATTGTAACCTTCTTGAGGAAGCCATCTTTGGAGTCACCATTTTACTTCTACTTTTTTAACAGATTAAGAATATTTATAGCCAATTTTTGTTTTTGATAGACTTTGGCAAGTCTTCATTACAATACTCTCCCATAATTGAAATTTCGCTTTTTCTATTTTCATTGTAATAAATTTTATGTTCTAGAAGAAGATATTTAAGTTGGGAACTTTGATGTATTTATGAATTTGAGTTATCTACCATGTTGATATATGGTTTATTCAATATTCAGTAAGAAATTGTGTATATACCCTTGCCATCTTACAAAGGCCAACTTATAGTGAATGTTACACCTGTACAAAATGTATTTATTTAGATTTCTTTTTAAATATGAAAATTATTTGTTATGTATCTGTATAAAGAAAAAGAAATACTGTACCCTTGTGCTTATGTTTATGTGATGTAAATGATCAGAAATGGCCTGCTTATACAATGCCTATTATTTTCACTATCATAAGTGGTAGTGCTATATTCACATTATGAACATTTCTAAATACAGATTTCATGTGATTTACAAAATGCAGAATTCATGTACAATTTAAGGAGTTAAAATGAAAGAGACCCCTAAACATGGACAGATTGACAGGTATTACATATATACATGTCACTGTAATGATGGAAGGCTTAATCTTTTACCCTGTCCAAAGTTCGGCAGAAAATAATGATTGCACTTTAATGTTTTCAAAAGATTTTGTGCAAAATACAGATCTGTTCACCTGGTATGGTATTTGATGTCTGTCTGTAATAAACTTCTATTTTTGTCGAGATCTGCTACAGCTTTCAAGCTATCACTTTCAAACATGGTAGACTTAATCAGTTTGGCATGAGGTTGTGTTTTCCTGATCATGAACACAGTTTGGTTCAACTATATTCTGTTTTTTCATATAAATGTTAATTTTGTCTGGAGATTCAGTGATTGTTGGGATTGTTTTGTCATGGTTTCATCATTTTTGTCTGGGATTCGCTCGGATTTGAGGACCCAATATATCTCTTAAGTATTTGGTCTCATCAAAATTTTGAAATTCAAGTTCTGGACTCGCCTGAAAGAAACCTATGTCTCCTGATATGCTTTAGGTATTATCATTTATTAACATTTTGAAACAATAAGTTATGAATATTTCTGTGGCATGGGACAGGTACACACAATTATGTTGTTTCTCTGGCGATACCCTTGATCACTAAATGTACTTGTCAGTATTTAAGCATGTCTAGGCTTGAGACTGATTTCAAGAACAAGATGGCATGGTGTTGTTAGTTGCATAACATCATTACTAAATACTTCCTCAAATTTACAATATGAAAAAAACATGGTTTCTGTTATTGAATGTTTGATCAAATTGCTGTTTGATGCAAAAGTCAGGAGCTAAGAAGAGTGAAGAAAAGTAACTCTGTATTTGAGATTATACAATGGTTGATACCACAACCTCTCTGGGATCTCTTTGTTTCAGAAGGATGCATGTTAATTAATATGATTTTCGTTCAAAAATTTTCAGTACCTAAAATGTTGTCGTTTCTTTGTTTTTATATATCTATTAGATTTATTATTTATTTTAATGCAGAAAAATCATATTATTTTTTAGAATAACTGCTCAGAGATTATTTTTCTTCTCTTTCACTTTCCAGAAATCTAATCTTAAATGGTAATCGCAAAATATCACACTTTTTTAGAGTCAATCTTTTTAGACCGCCATCATCAGGTGGTGGGCTATTCAAATTGCTCTGCGTCAGTGGTCCATCATCCGTCTGTATACAATTATTGTGATCTTGAGAATCACTTGATGGATCTTTCTCAAATTGCATATATGTTTGTTCCCCTTGGTCCCTATTTGTGCCTATTGGATTTTGGGTCTGATAAAAAACATAATGCCCGAAAGGCAGCCATCTTGGATTTTTTCAATGAAGTTTGTTACCGCTATTTCTTAAAAAGCAAGAGACAGATCTCTCTCAAATTTTATATGTAGGTTCCCCATGGTCTCTAGTTGTGCCCATGTAATTTTGGGACAGTTCAGAAAAACAAATTGACTGATAGGCGGCTGTCTTGGATTTTGATTTTGATAGATTTTTATCACTATTTCTTGAGAATTATGGGAAGGATCTCTCTCAAATTTCATATTTAGGTTCCCCTTGGTCTCTAGTTGTTACCATTTGATTTTAGGTCTGATCAGATTAAGCAAATAGCCAAAAGATGGCCATCTTGGATTTTGATTTTGAAAGTTTGTTATTGCTATCACTTTGGAAGTCCTTGATGGATGTTCCTTAAATTTCAGATGTAGGTTCCCCTTAGTCCCTAGTTGTGCCAATTTGATTTTGGCACTGATGGGAAAAACAAAATGGCTGACAGACGGACATCTTAGAATTTAACTTTGAAAGTTGTTATCACTATTTCTTGAGAATTCAACATAGATCTTTCTTTCATTTCATGTGTATGCTTTCCTTGATTCCTAGTTTGTGCCTGTTTGATTTTGGTACTGATCAGAAGAAACAAAATGACCCACAAGTGGCCATCTTGGATTTTGACTTTGAATGTTTGTTACCACAATTTCTTGAGAACTACTCGATAGATCTTTCTCAAACTTCTTGTATAAGTTCCTTTAGGTCCCTAGTTGTGCCTGTATGAGATTGGGACTGATCAGAGAAACAAAAAGGTCAAAGGCAGTCATTTTGGATTTCACCTAGTAAAGATTATTATTGCTATTTGGTAAGAAGTACTGAATGGATATCTCTCAAATTTCATACATTTGTTCCCTTTGGTGTCTCCGTGTGTTTGTTTGGTTTTGGGACTGATCAGAATAAACAAAAGGGTTTCCAGACGGCCAGTTTGCATTTGGCAGGTAAAGATTATCATCACTATTTCTGCAAAGGAATGTTCGAATGTCTTATCATTAACACCAAAAGCAGAAAAGAGAGGGCAAAAGATCCAACATTCAAAGAGCAAACAAAGATCAAACAATGGTGGACGCCAAGATCCCTCTGGTTAATATTGTCTAATTTGCATATTTTGTGTGAAATGTGTTAATTTTTTATTGTAAATTGCAAAGTTAAGGTACAATACAATGATTTGAGGTGATAGATGCCATATCTACGGTGTAAGTTGTTACAGGTAGGTGGAACATGTCTACGGTGTAAGTTGTTACAGGTGGGTGGAACATGTCTACGGTGTAAGTTGTTACAGGTGGGTGGAACATGTCTACGGTGTAAGTTGTTACAGGTGGGTGGAACATGTCTACGGTGTAAGTTGTTACAGGTGGGTGGAACATGTCTATGGTGTAAGTTGTTACAGGTGGGTGGAACATGTCTATGGTGTAAGTTGTTAGAGGTGGGTGGAGCATGTCTACGGTGTAAGTTGTTACAGGTGGGTGGAACATGTCTACGGTGTAAGTTGTTACAGGTGGGTGGAACATGTCTATGGTGTAAGTTGTTACAGGTGGGTGGAACATGTCTATGGTGTAAGTTGTTACAAGTGGGTGGAACCAATTTTCCACAATACCTACATATAGAAATCATTATTTATCTAAGACAGTTCTTGTATCTAATTGCCAATAATATGTCACTTATGATTCTAATTAAGACGAGACTACCTACAGGTTGATGGTGTAGTTTCGATTCTCCTTGCTTTCACCTAATAATTTAGATTGTAGCATAAGAAACCTAGACATTCACATGTAAAGGAGACTTATCCTGTTTTATAGACACGGTCATTCATACTAAGCTCTAAAAAAGTACATGTACATATATCCTCTCAGTAATATCAATTTGTACGATTCTTTGATTAGATACTTAATTTGCAGGGACATTCCTTATGTTAAGCCATCCATAACTTGATACTGCAAATTTAGTAGCTGTTGTCAGTGTGGAATAAATAAGAATATTTACAAGATATGCTACAGGACATTATTACACTAACTGTATAAACATCCAAGGCACATAAAGGGCAGGTTGTAACGTTTACCTCTCCCCTTTATATTGAAGCTGGTTGTGTTCTGCAACACTACATGAATATTTGATACCCAGCAGGTGTGTTTGGGTTTATTGGTGGCCCTTCCCTCCCTTACACTGTCCAACATTATAAGCTCATTCTGTTCAATACACTTTTACCTGTGACCCATCTTTTCTCTTTAACCATATATTTAACCAGTATGTGATTACAAGGCAAGTAATATACCTGTACAATAATGAATATTTAGTCTGTTAGGTTAGCACACACCCCCTCCCCTAAATAAGCATTTCAATTTTGGAACAAAAAGTAGTATATATGCACATATGCACTGCACATAGATAAGATGGATATTTTAATCAGAGGCAGTGCTACAGACTGCATTAATTTTTCAATTTTCTCTTCACGATTACATTTTTTATTGGACAAGAAATGTTCGGTATTTGATATAGAGATTGTGTTATTGGCTGGTGAACTGTTAGTTATATTACTGATCATCATTGTCTTACATCTACACTTCATCATTAATTACAGGTCAAGCGATGTTAATAATGTTACCAAGATGACGGCAGAGCACCAGCGTGTGCAGGCCGAGGGATATGGAGACTCGGTTGTTACGCAAATGAAAAACCTTCGCACCAACAATGAGTTGTGTGACTTCAAAGTGTCGGCAGAGGGACGGACATTTGATGTAAGTACACATTTCACTGAGTCAAAACCAATGGTCAAAGGTTACACAATAAGACACCTTTATTTCATGTATTCATGATAATTTGATGTCGCTGAAATTCCTTGAAATCATTTGAGGATAATTTCTATGTCTGACTTACTTCCCTTTCATGTGTTTAATGCCTAATTTAAATCAAAACTGGCAAGACAATTAAGCAACAGTACCCGACTTCTGTCAAAAATACTTGTGATGATCTTCTTTCACGGATGATCTGAAGATGATAGGTCAATCCAGGGTTAGGCTTTGGATGGTTATGTAATTAGATTGTTGTTTTTGTTGCTCTCCCAAGGGAAAAATACAATAGGCTGTCTAAGGTTTGAGTCTGATAGAGACCTGATGTAGTTCAAGTCCTCATGAACAGATGCTGTATACTAGATTACCAGGTGTGAGCCAAGATATATTTACACATCCAATGTATATGTCCAGCTTCCTTTTGGAACAAATTATTTCATTAGAAAATATCAAACTGCTCGTGTTATATTTTTAAGCCCACTATCATCAGGTAGGCTATTCAAGTTAATTGATGCGGTGACCTGACCATCGTCCGTCCATAAAAAATGTCATAATTACCATTTCTTAAGAAGTACTTGATGGTGGCCATCTCAGATTTTGACCCCCTCCCCACCTTGGTACTTAGTTGTGCCTTTCTGATTTAAGGACTGACCAGAAAAACAAAATGTCTGAAAGATGGTCTGATCTTGGATTTTGGCCATGAAAAAATCGTCATTGGCATTTTTTGAGAAGTACAAGATGGAGCTTTCTTTAATTTCCTGTTTTGATTTTTTTGAGAGTTTGAACTTATACAATAAATTCTATATAACATTGAAATTAATAACATTGAAATTATATTATAAATTCTTTACAACATTGAAATTATATAATATATTCTATATAACATTGAAATTATATAATAAATTCTTTATAACATTGAAATTACATAATAAATTCTTTATAACATTGAACTTATATAATAAATTCTATATACCATTGAAATTACATAATAAATTCTTTATAACATTGAACTTATATAATAAATTCTATATACCATTGAAATTACATAATAAATTCTTTATAACATTGAACTTATATAATAAATTCTATATAACATTGAAATTACATAATAAATTCTTTATAACATTGAACTTATATAATAAATTCTATATAACATTGAAATTATATAATAAATTCTATGTAACATTGAAATTATATAATTCTATATAATATTGAAATATATAATAAATTCTATATAACATTGAAATTACATAATAAATTCTTTATAACATTGAAATTATATAATAAATTCTATATACCATTGAAATTACATAATAAATTCTTTATAACATTGAAATTATATAATAAATTCTATATAACATTGAAATTACATAATAAATTCTTTATAACATTGAAATTATATAATACATTCTTTATAACATTGAAATTATATAATAAATTCTATATAACATTGAAATTACATAATAAATTCTTTATAACATTGAAATTATATAATACATTCTTTATAACATTGAAATTATATAATAAATTCTATATACCATTGAAATTACATAATAAATTCTTTATAACATTGAAATTATATAATAAATTCTATATAACATTGAAATTATATAATAAATTCTATGTAACATTGAAATTATATAATTCTATATAATATTGAAATATATAATAAATTCTATATAACATTGAAATTACATAATAAATTCTATATAACATTGAAATTATATAATATATTCTATATAATATTGAACTTATATAATAAATTCTATATAACATTGAAATTATATAATACATTCTTTATAACATTGAAATTATATAATAAATTCTATATAACATTGAAATTACATAATAAATTCTTTATAACATTGAAATTATATAATAAATTCTATATAACATTGAAATTATATAATATATTCTATAACATCGACACTCATGTAAGAATTTATCTTGTTTTTGATTTTTAGACTGATTACATAAAATGGCTGACTGTTGGTCTTTTGTCTATGCCTTTTTAGATTTTATTGATAGGTTCCCCTTGGTCCCTAGTAGTGCCGTTTTGATTTTGGAAATGATCATAATTAACAAAATGGCTTTCAATGGATTTGATGTTTAAGATTATTATCACTATTTCTTATGAATTCCATACAATAAATAGCAAGCTTTTGTCAAGGCTGCCATTTTGAAAAACACATTTTAATCTTCATCTCTAGTTCAGTTTGTGTCATTGAGCTGGAAATTTGTTGGGATGTTAAGGAAAGGAAGCTGACAAAGTGTTGTTGTCATTTCGCCTCCTCAAAACCCTGACATAGCAGTCACAGTGACCTTTTAATAACATGATTCATGGTTGTCCAAGGCAGTACCTGTTTTATAATAGTTTTCAATCCTGAACAGAAATAATTATACATTAGCTCTTGACTTTAGTTGCAATACTCCTTATTGATGTTTGGATGAGGGTTTGATGTAGAATAATAATTCTTAAAGAAAATTGAAGACAAATTGTACATGTAATAATAAAATTTCAGAATATGGAAATGTGAGATTGTCTTTTTCATTCCTTTATTTTTAGAGCTACCATTATGTGTTAATTTATTTGTCTTGTCTGAATCTTAATTTGAACACATAGCTTGGGATATGGGAGTGTACTAATATAAGTAAGAGTGCTCTCCCCTTTTAAGTGTACTACAATGTTGCTCCTCCCATTTCTTGTAAAGGACATAATTTCACAAGTTGCTGAAGCACAATTATTATCTTTGTATATACATATACGTCTTAATTTATCATGTAGCTGATGGGTGCTTATTTTCAGTGTTATTGATATTTATTAAGATCCCAAATTCAATCGGTTTGAACCTAGAGTCATTTTATTTTGAACACACACTTAAGGTGTTTGAGGTAAATTATTGGCAGTCATCCATTGAGTGACTTTAATTGACAAGATTTACTGCCCTTAGGTTTTCTTCCCTAACAAGTCAGTTTAGTTACATTGCAGAAATGGAACTGCAGGACACTATTAATGACACATTGGACCTCAGCCTTTACCAGAGTTATTGCCCTTTGTTTATTGTGGTCTTGGCCATAGCTTTATCAATTATGGGTCTGTGTTAGCATTTTCTCATAGATACAGGATACATTATGTATCAATATATCTGCATATGATTCACCTTTCATCACTAGAGCCGGTATGATTTGTCTTCAAGAATCCAACTTCTGATGCATTTAGTACATTAATCAGTTTGGTTATTGATTATCACTGGAACAATGTGTTTCATGTATGTGTATCTATCAGTAGAATATTAGACTCTTTAATTGGCTTGATCATGTTTTGTGCAACACCTGAAAATGTTTGGAAGTCCCTGGCGATTTCACTTGTTTTTATAGCTTCTAAATTGTCACAGAAAAAACCTGTTTCCAGACAGAATGGTTTTAATGGCTGCCCACAGGGACTGTTGTAGACCTATTGATTTTTAGCCTGGTGGTCATTTCATTGTTTATGTCCACATGCTAAAGGTATATTAACCTCTTGTGACAAACAACGGCTGAAGAATGTAATTATTTTGCCTAATTGGTTCTGTTTTTGTAGCAGATACTTTTTGGTCAGCTAGGAAAGCCTTGTACTGATGGTTAGCGAGGAAAGTCTGGTACTGATGGTCGGCTAGGTACTGAAGGTCAGCTAGGAAAGTCTAGTACTGATGGTCAGCTAGGAAAGCCTTGTACTGATAGTCAGCTAGGAAAGTTAGTACTGATTGTCAGCTAGGAAAGTTAGTACTGATACTCAGCTTAGAAAGTCTGGTACTGATGGTCAGCTAGGAAAGTCTGGTACTGATGGTCAGCTAGGAAAGTCTGTCACTGATGGTCAGCTAGGAAAGTCTGTCACTGATGGTCAGCTAGGAAAGTCTGGTACTGATGGTCAGCTAGGAAAGTCTGGTACTGATGGTCAGCTAAGAAAGTCTTGTACTGAAGGTCAGTGAGGAAAGTCTGGTACTGATGGTCAGCTAGGAGAGTCTGGTACTCTGGTACTGATGGTCAGCTAGGAGAGTCTGGTACTGATGGTCAGCTAGGAAAGTCTGGTACTGATGGTCAGCAAGGAATGTCTGGTTCTGGTGGTTAGCTAGCATAAACATGGAATACCAGGGGAGCAATGCAAGCCCATTGGGCATCTTGTTATTGAAATAGAATTTGAACTATTTATTGAAATAGAGTCTAAACTATTAATTGAAATAGATTTTGAACTAACTAAAACATTTAAATGTGTCAGTTTCTTTGTTGTAATAGACTGTATTTTCCAGTCCTTTCATTGTTTTTCTAAAAATGTACAAGCCAAAGAATATTATAGTATTAGATATTATAAAGTGAAACAGCACACTCATTATATATTTACATACATGTATTACCACAAGGATAATGGCATATAGCACTGTGCTAAATTAATAGCATTTTCTTGGGTTAAAATGCATATTCTGTTTCTTTATTTAAAATACTCTTTTTTTATTTCACATATCCCTTGTCTTTATTTCACATTTTCTTTCTTATTATTTCTTAAAATACAAAATAATCAGAATACATGTATTATCAATAAGCTCATTGAGTTTATCAAATGGTTTGAATTTGTCAAATATAAGTTACAGGGGAGATAACTTATGTCAACTTTTCTAATTATTTTTTATATGGACAGGTCCATAAGGTCCTTCTTGCTGCCACAAGTGATTATTTCAAGGTCATGTTTGGAGGTGTCATGGCCGAGAGCAAGCAGAACTCCGTGGACTTAAAGGGAGTCACAGCTGATGGTCTCCAGCAAATTGTTGAGTTTATTTATAGTGGGGAAATGTCTCTTCATTATGATAATCTCACAGAAATCATCAACACTGCCAGTCATCTACAGGTTTCCTCAGCGATAGAACTCTGCAGTACCTACATCAAGTCCCTAATGACCTTTGACAATGCTGATGAGTTTCTTACCATAGCCGACACATATTCCCTCGAAAAAGTTCAATATCACTGGGATAACATGATCTTGAACAGTTTCTATGAGTTTAGTCAAACCCAAATTTTTCTAAAACTTGATGCCTCTTCGCTTACTAAGTACCTCGCACAAAATGCGCTCAGGACCTCGTCAGAGTATAAACTCTTTCAGTGCCTGGACAAGTGGTTTCGATACAGCCCAGGACGATTTCAAAATGATGGGCCTGATGTACTTAGTCACATTAGGTTTCCACTGATGACAGAGGCAGAGTTAGCTTCTGTGCAGGAGAATGAAATAATCAAACGGTGTCCAGGGGCTATCCAATATGTGGCACGTGGCTTCAAATACCACATCGACTGTAAAGAAGGACATCCAAATATCGAGGAAATCTCCACAATTCGAAGTGAAATCCCGTCACTAGTATTAGTTCACCATGGGTCATCATATATGCCATTTCAGATAACTGCACACAATCATATCTCAGGGGTTTTTTACCGTCTTTTCTCAGATGTTAATGGAAGCAGGGATTGTAGACTTGTAGTTGTGGACAATTTTGGTTACATATGTCGTGTGGTAGACTTCGGAGGGGGGACCTTGATGAGTTCTTTAGTGCGCTTTGATCCACGTCATTTAGTCAGTCAAGAACTTCGTCCAATGCGGCGGTTACGGATGGATTTCGCACTTGTTGCTCACAAGTGTTGCCTGTATGTATTTGGTGGTTCAACTGAGCAGTTCGCAATCTTGGACTCAGTGGAGTTTTATAATGTCACAACTAACATTTGGGGTGATCTACCTCCACTTCCCACCCCTCTTCACTCGTTGGCATCAACAGTGGAAGGTGATAGTATCTACCTCTCCGGCGGAGTGTCCAGTCAGGATCGGCAGGCGACCAACACATTCATGTGCTACTATCCAGCCACCCGTCACTATGAGTCACTTCCTGGCATGTTTTATGCACGACGTCTACATGATATGGTATCATTTCAGCAGAAAATTTATGTTGTGGGTGGCATCCCAAGACAGGGAGCACCCCTTCATGGACAGATCCCAATCGAGTGTTTCAACTTTTCAACCAATCAATGGACAATGCTATCATCCACGCTAAGTGGGCGATCTGTGGGTCATTATATGACATTTGAAGGACAGATTTTGTCACTTGGTCATGAGCACCATAATGCCACAGAGGATGAGATCTGGATCTATGATCCTGAAGTAGATGACTGGGTGAAACACGCTAAGGCACCTCAGCGTATGAACCTCACCTCAGCCATTTGTACTGTGTTACATGTTAATTATGATAATGAGAAAGTATGTAAAACTTTCTTGAAGGACAAATAGAAATGGTTCATGTAATACTGTAAATCACTTATATTTCGTGTGATTTTATTTTCGTGTTTATACACCAGGGAGAGTCAACCATGAATTCAAATACCTCGCGATTATTTTTACAGAAATAACTCTGGATGACAGTCCTGTTGATTTGGTTACCGATATCAGGGTCCTGTATGGTGCAGGTCTCTTGTAGCTTATCAGTCGCGACTTTAAAGACTTATTCAGAAATATGTCTTAAGAGGAATTTCGCAAAATAAAGTTTTACCGAAATCCAAGTGATTTGCAATACATAGATAATTGTAAAATATAAAGGTATTTTCAGTACAGTTTTCTTTAAACTTTAATTTAGTCACTTAAAAAAGGGAAAATACCTTGTCAGTAAAATGTTAATTATATCATCTATTTGAAAGGGTTTATTATGAATGAAATGGAGAATTATTTTTCATAGTGATACGTATCAAAGATTTGTCAGTCAAAATCGGTATGTGATGTATTGATGAATTCTGACAATAATGCTGGCTTTATATAGTTCAATGTTAAAAGATTTTCACCAAAGAATTATATATTAAATTCTTATAGGAATAAAATATGAATTTAAGTAATTTGTATGAACATGACAAATAGTTGAACAAGGGAGGTAACTCTAGTTTACACATTCAGAAAGTAGATGTAGTTAAGAATGAGGTGGAGAGATGCTATTGATTGATGTGATGCCATGCAGGTTACATACAGGGAAATGTACAGATATTGTTATATTGTTGGCAGGTGTAGCACAGTATACATATTATCTGTTATCTGGTATAAAAAAAGTTGATGTTTTTTCTTTGTTTTCATAAGAGCACATTAATTGTGATCTATACCAATACTGAAGTATTTTATTTTCAATGCAGAGAAGTCAAAATGGATTTGTTATTACTACCATTAGTCATTTGAAATGCAATTTTGTATTGCTAGTTTTGTCTATTGGCTCATGAACAACTATGATCATTTAAAACCATGATCTCCTTGTAATAGCTGGTAGCTTAAGTACAGATTGAGAATCATGAAGGAAGTTCATACATAGTGACAGTATAGCTGTTGTATATAGTGACAGTATAGCTGTTATATATAGTGACAGTATAGCTGTTATATCTAGTGACAGTAAAGCTGTAATATATAGTGACAGTATAGCTGTTAATAAATAGTGACAGTATAGCTGTTACATATATTGACATTTTAGCTGTTGTATATAGTGACAGTATAGCTGTTATAGTGACAGTATAACTGTTATATATAGTGACAGTGTAGCTGTTATATATAGTGACAATATAGCTGTTATATATAGTGACAGTATAGCTGATACATAGTGACAGTATAGCTGTTATATATAGTGACAGTATAGCTGTTATATATAGTGACAGTATAGCTGTTACAATGACAGTATAACTGTTATATATATTGACAATATAGCTGTTACAATGACAGTATAGCTGTTATAGTGACAGTATAACTGTTATATATAGTGACAGTGTAGCTGTTATATATAGTGACAATATAGCTGTTACAATGACAGTATAACTGTTATATATATTGACAATATAGCTGTTACAATGACAGTATAGCTGTTATATATATTGACAGTATAGCTGTTACAATGACAGTATAGCTGTTACAATGACAGTATAGCTGTTATATATATTGACAGTATAGCTGTTATATATATTGACAGTATAGCTGTTACAATGACAGTATAGCTGTTATATATAGTGGCAGTATAGCTGTTACAATGACAGTATAGCTGTTATATATAGTGACAGTATAGCTGTTACAATGACAGTGTAGCTGTTAGAGTGACAGTATAGCTGTTACAATGACAGTATAGCTGTTATATATAGTGACAGTATAGCTGTTACAATGACAGTATAGCTGTTATATATAGTGACAGTATAGCTGTTACAATGACAGTATAGCTGTGATATATAGTGACAGTATAGCTGTTATATATAGTTACAGTATAGCTGTTATATATAGTGACAGTATAGCTGTTACAATGACAGTATAGCTGTTATATATAGTGACAGTATAGCTGTTACAATGACAGTATAGCTGTGATATATAGTGACAGTATAGCTGTTATATATATAGTTACAGTATAGCTGTTATATATAGTGACAATATAGCTGTTATATATAGTGACAGTATAGCTGATACATAGTGACAGTATAGCTGTTATATATAGTGACAGTATAGCTGTTATATATAGTTACAGTATAGCTGTTATATATAGTGACAGTATAGCTGTTATATATAGTGACAATTCATCGTAAAGATATTTCTCTCTATTATTTACTATACTGGTATTGAATAAAACTATGAAGTTGAATTGACATCTCACATTTGTGTCATGTGGATGTGAATTGCCAATTAGTTGATGTGAATATCAGTAGAATATCTAGTACATACTTAGCTCTGTACAGGAAAACTTCATCCTTCATAGTCATTGTTCACTCGTTGTATTTGATGAGGAGACTTGTGAATTAAGTGCCACAATTTTAAAGTTCACAGTAAAATGTGAGGTGAAGCTCTGTTTTACCATATGATGAGTTGGGTATTTGTATTAACTCTCCTACATAACAGCAGTATTCTGAATACCATTGTGTTGTTGTGTCCATGTTAAATGCTGCTGTTACAAAGTTTTTAAAGGGGAATATGTTTTAGATATTACACACAATAGTCCCAATTACAGCCTCTTTCAAGTGGGTTTGATTGTTGTTATCATTGAAAGAAAAATAAAGACTTTTTGTATGTTCTACACATTTACAGTTACAAGGTAGAAAGAAATTCAAATGTTTCAAGGATCGTTGTATATTTTCTTTATAAATCTCTGTATTTCTATGTTAGGACCTGTTACCTATACATATACTTTGGAAAATTCATTAATGTCATTCATAATATCATGTTCTGAAGATACAACAAGATTTAAATTTTAACATAGTACAGACTATTATCATCAGAATGACATTGATCATTTTTAAGCTAAAGGTGACACAGTTACAGTTTCAGCCTATTGTCATAGACATTGGAACTAGCTGTTACTAACAATCCTTGCTTTCTGATTGGTGGAAATCTGTTACAGTTTCAGCCTATTTTCATAGACATTGGAACTAGCTGTTACTAACAATCCTAGCTTTCTGATTGGTGGAAATCTGTTACAGTTTCAGCCTGTTCTCATAGACTTTGGAACTAGCTGTTACTAACAATCCTAGCTTTCTGATTGGTGGAAATCTGTTACAGTTTCAGCCTATTGTCATAGACATTGGAACTAGCTGTTACTACCAATCCTAGCTTTCTGATTGGTGGAAATCTGCCAACAGACTATCATAGATACCTTTTTTTTTTCATTAAATCAGCATAACTAAGATCTATCTTAAATGTGTAGGACAATGATGTTATGTGAAACTATCAATTAAAGATTCACAATATTCTGTTATGTTTCATCAGATGTGTTCAAAGCAATCTACATGTTGGATATAAGGAATTTGTCATTATGATATATTTGTTAGATAAATTGTAAATATGAAAATATTTAAAATCAATATGTGTTTTATTATTACATCTAATTCTTATCATTCTGTCACCAATAGAATATCCATTGTCTAAATAAACCACAGCCATACAAATGTGCTCTTTTATGCTCTGGTGACTTTTGATGATAATAGTAAAATGTGTATATAACCATCTATATAGGACTTAATTGTTGTATCCCTGCCATAAGACCTACAGACTGGAGTTCACTGGTCTCAGTTACTGCCAATTCCTCATTGTTAACATAGATATTATTGTTCATAAAAAATAAGTAACTAGATAAAAAAAATAAACCTCACATACATGATCTACCTTCATTGATTCTATTTCGTATTATAAACTGTCAATGTCAAAAACCTGTTTTATTTTGTTTTATAAATATTTTTATCAATTTCTATAATTTAAGGTAGTGTAATATGGTTTATTGTGACAAATACATAATAGCACTTTGTGTATCTATTTGCAAATGATAATAGATGTTGATATTTAAGAATCATTGTTCCTAAGTTCAAATATATACTGCTTCTGTTCTTGAAAATACCAGCTGTGTTTATAATTTATGGTAAATATTTTATATAGCTTTCTACTATGTTGTAAGGTGTGACTTTATAAAACTTTGTAAAGGTAACATGTATGCAATTTTTTCAATTTCAAAATTTGGATGTCAAACTGATTTGAAGATGAAGGGTAGTTTTATGTGCATTTTATTGAGGGAATGAAAAATGAATGAAATTTTAATTTGATAACACTGTTTTTGGAGGGGGGGTTGTCTGCATGATTTAACAACATGCGACGCAAAAATTTTCATATTTCTAATGTGATTGTGATTGCATACATGATACTTAAAAGATGTCAGTTGATCATTATTAACAGTTCTTTAGTAGTACTTTTCAACTTGAATGTTTTATATCATATATCAAGTCAAGTTACTATATGCACATATTGTATACCATGCATAAAATTCAGTAGAGAATCAACATTTCAAAGTGCTCTAAAACGTAAATGATATACCTCAAGTCATTTCAGTCTGAACCTTCATTTACTGCGGACCTCAGTCTACCCTCTCACTCCCAATCTATAAACTTTTAAATCATTAAGATAGAAGAATCTTTCATTATGTCATCTTGAAGTATAGGCAATGTTGTAGACTCTTTGTTCAGTTGTAACAATATCTATTGTCAATGTATGGTCATTTTACCTTCTGTCTCTCTAATCAAACACTTGAACTGTAGAGATGGTGGGACTCATTCTGTTGGCTAATGTTTCACCTTCAAGGAGACAAAAAAAACTGTAATCCTTATCAGCTTTATTGAATTAATATTGTTATGGAAACAGGCAGAATTTATTGTATGTCTATAAATTTTTAAAAACTTTTGAATAATGATGTTTGAAGTATGTTTACTAAGGATGTTGGCAGTGAGAGGGTTAAACCACTGGAACAC